ATTTTGTGCGAAAAATGGAATTCGACATGAATTCACATCACCCTATTCACCTCAACCCAATGGAATTGCTGAAAGAAAGAACCGTACCTTGAGAGAAATGGTTAATGCCATGATAATTAGTTCGGGTGTAAACCAGTCAATGTGGGGGAAGCTATTTTGTCGGCTAACTATCTTTTAAATAAGATACCTCGCAAAGAAAAGAATGAAATACCGTATGAACTTTGGATGGGAAGAAAGCCATAATATAAGTACTTACAAGTGTGGGGGTGGCTAGCTAAAGTTGTAGTACCACCGCCTAAGGTACAAAAGTTAGGGCCTAAAACAGTGGATTGTGTATTCATTGGATATGCACAAAGTAGTAGTGCTTATCGGTTCCTTGTGCGTGATTCTAAGAATCCTGAAATACACAAGAATACCATAATGGAATCAAGGAATGCTTCATTCTTTGAAGATGTGTTTCCTTGTTTGAACAAGGAAGTTGAAAGCCCATCTTTACCAAATAACGAAGTTGTTCGAGAGGAAGAACAAGCTCAATCCGAGGAAGAAGAGATAGAACTCAAAAGAAGTAAGAGGGCTAGAGTTGAAAAATCATTTGGTGATGATTTTTACACCTATGTGGTGGAAAGTGAACCTAAAACCTACCCAGAGGCGGTTACTTCTTCTGAGGGGCCTCAATGGAAAGAAGCCATCAAAAATGAGGTACAATCTATCTTACAAAATCATATGTCGGAACTAGTGGATCTACCTCCAGGTAGCAAGCCATTGGGTTACCGTTGGATTTTTAAGAGAAAGATGAAACCTAATGGCAGTATTAATAAATACAAGACAAGACTAGTAATCAAAGGTTATAGACAAAAAGAAGTTCTAGATTACTTTGATACGTATTCGCCGGTAACGCGGATAACATCCATTAGATTAGTTCTTGCCATTGCAGCTATCAGAAACTTGCAAGTTCATCAAATGGATGTGAAAACGGCTTTCCTAAATGGGGAGTTGGAAGAAGAAATTTATATGGAGCAACATGAGGGCTTCATTGCCTCGGGACAAGAGAACAAGGTTTGTAAACTTGTTAAGTCTCTATATGGATTAAAACAAGCTCCTAAACAATGGCATCAAAAGTTTGATCAAGTCATGATGGAAAGTGGCTTTAGAATCAATGAGTGTGATAAGTGTATCTATGTTAAAAACACCACTCATGGTTATGTCATCTTGTGTTTGTATGTTGATGATATGCTTATCATTGGTAGTGATGACAAGATAATAAGATCCACGAAGGATATGTTGAAATCCAGGTTCGACATGAAAGATATGGGTTTAGCAGATGTGATTCTTGGAGTCAAGATCACAAGAACCCAAAGTGGTTTGGTTTTAAGTCAAACACACTATGTGGATAAGATTTTTGAAAAATTTGCTAAGGGAGACACTAGCATAGCTAGAATTCCAAATTGACACTAGTCAACATCTACGTAAAAATAGAGGTGATAGTGTGAATCAAGTGAAATATTCAAGAATTATTGGCAGTCTGATGTATCTAATGAGTTGTACCAGACCTGACTTAGCATATGTTGTGAGCAGACTAAGTAGATACACTAGTAAACCCAGTTCTGAACACTGGAAGAGTATTACTAGGTTGCTAAGGTATGTGAGATACACGCGAGAATATGGACTGCATTATGGGAGACATCCAGCAGTTATCGAAGGATACACAGATGCAAATTGGATATCTAACATAAAAGATTCGAGATCTACAAGTGGATATGTGTTTACACTTGGAGGTGCTGCTGTAGCATGGAAATCATCCAAGCAAACAGTTATATCTAGATCCACGATGGAATCTGAATTTATCGCCTTAGATATTTGTGCTGAAGAGGCGGAGTGGCTACGTCAATTTGTAGAGGACATTCCCGAATGGCCCAAGTCGTTAACGGCCATATGTATACATTGTGATAACCAATCGGCAATTGGTAGAGCTCAAAGTACAATGTATAATTGGAAATCTAGGCACATTAGACGTAGACATAAAACGATACGAAAACTAATCTCTACGGGGGTTATCACGGTTGACTGGATGAAGTCAAAGGATAACATTGCGGATCCGCTTACAAAAGGCTTGAGTAGAGATGTAGTTTATAAGTCGTCAAGAGGAATGGGACTAAAGCCCATGAATGAGGCATGTCAAGAAGACTGGAGATCCCAAGATCTAGGTTCAAAAGGATAACCTAACTGTATGAGTGAGGCATGTCACTGTGGGGGAGTTAACATTACTTCCTAGTCCATTCCTATATGTAGTGACAAAATTAGGCTAAACATATGGTTTTTAATGATTCTTGGAATCACCTATGTGAGAGAGAAGTGGGGTCGCTTCGAGGGGAATTATAGGGGCACAATTCCTAAAGCTCTTGCAAAACCAGGCTAGTGTTCATGACCAAAACGAACACGTCTATGAAGATATGACCTTGTCAGGGAGAATCATGTGAGATTTACATTGTCGTCTACATAAATGGCAGCTTAGTTCAAAGACATCGAGATCTACTAACTGCTAGGAGATTAAGTGTAACTTCTTAAGGGAGGGTTCAAAGGGTAATACCTACCTATCCTATGCAGGATTCAACTGTTGAAAATTTTGTTTGGAAATTGGATGTGCAGAGATCGATCTCCATTCATGTGGGGGATTGTTGGAAAATTTAGTATAAATATTTATATTTTTACTAACTTTGGACATATATAAATATATACATATGTTGTATATATAACTAACTCTAAGTAGGTTTGTGTTCTCCTCCACGAGGACTTCGAAACGATATATTATATGTCCAAAATAGAGTATATATGAATGAGATATCGATACTCAAAGATGGGTATTTGAGAATAAATTTAGCAAAAAGAGAGGAATGTGGGAATGATTCCCACAATGGTAGAAAGACCAAACCAAATAAGGTTTATAAGCTTTAATCCATGAAAGGCTTACAAGCTTGTGTCTATGGTTATGCTACAATTCCTACCCCCGCGCAGGAGGGGTGCAAATCTTGGATTTCGTAGACCAAAAACACCGAACTTGTGCATGGGCTCGACCTGCGGACACGAATACAGCTCCGAAAACTCGAGCGCCCGCTACCCTTGTTTTTGCTAAGCTTGACAGTTTTGGTCCCTATTTTTAAATTCTGTAACGGATGCATTAATTGCGTAATTAATGACATTTATTGGCATTAAACGCTCAATCAATTAGTGATTTGTTTCCATTACACGATTCAACTATAAAAGAAGACCTTGCCATCTCATTCAAACATACGAATGAAAATACTCTTCTTCTTCCTCCTTCTCTGTACTCCTGCTTCCGGCGATTCTTTCAGGCAAGTGGTAATATCCGGCAGTACACAATACTGCTAAGGTTGTTGTACCCTAGGAACAGACGGCGAATCTATTTAAGGGAATCGAGTCCAACTCGAGTCTCAGCCACATTGTTTGCTGCTAATCTTTTCTTTACAGGAACCTTTCAAAGAGGAAAACGAAGACATTACACTAACAATTACTTGTATCTATCTATCTAGTGTAATGAGATTTAGAGAGGCACCTGTGGTTTTAAGAAATTCATTAAAGCTTCAACTTCTTGGCAGGACTCCTAAAGAAGAAATGATGACCAATAATTGTTTCAATGGATAATGTCATGAATTCTTCCATATATTTCTTAGTTGTTTGCTTACATCTTTAGGCCTTCTTTTGCTCATTTGACCATATTATGGTTACTATTTGTCCAGAAGCTGTTTCACACTCTCCATTATTCTTTATATAATTTCGTTGGCATCCTTTTATCATGCATCTGCAACATAGTCACACGAAACGGAGTTCGCAGTTCGCTAGGTCCCCAAAATCCGGTACAAAGGGGGGTAGGTTCATTTCGGTTCGAATGGGTACGATGTACCAATTAAATTGGTACAATAGACCACATAAAAAAGTCATTAAGTCCAAGACTCCAAGTTCCAACAAAAATATATTGATATTAATAATCAAATATTAAATATTCAGTAAAAATTCTTTAAGACATAACCCATTAGACAAAAAACATTAAAAAATTCAAAATAATTAAGACGCATAACTACTCAAAATTAGTCTTTCCCCTATATTTTTTTGTTCCCATAATCAACAAACTCTTCAACTAAGCTTTCCCATTGCAATATTTGTAAGAAAAACGGGATAAAATAGCCTTGAAAATTCTGAGAATTGTGGTTTCACTTTCAGATTAAAGTATTTGGGTGGTACTCCCAATCTTTAATCGGATAAGACTCGGAATTGAGAGAAAGAACAGAAAATATGGTTGTTATGAATTTCGTGATTGTTGCTGTACCTAGAAAAAATGATGACCAAAAGATTAAGTAGTTCATTTGTCTGAAAAACTGTCAAGGCAGTTTTCTTTGTCCAAAAACTACTCCAACTTTCAAAACCAATAACAGTCACCAAAACGGATTTTTAATAAAGGTCAAAATGAATTCAAAAAATCGGGTTCATTTACAGAAAATTCAGATTTCTAAGGCATTTTTTATATAGCAATATAACTCATATAAAAAATTCCCGCGCTGACCCCAGCCAAGGGCTCTACCCCTTGGACCCCGCCAGGGGTTGCCGCCCCTTGGACCCCGCTCACAGGGGCGCTGCCCTCGGACCCCCGTTCGTTTAGGAGCTTCGCCCCTAAATGACAGTCTACTTTGAATCTTGAATAAATTTAAACAAGTGTGAACTCCGCACCTTCCTTACTTGTTTAATATTCATCAAGATTGACTTTTGGTCAACAAGTCAATCCATTACACTTAAATACACATTGATGATACAAAATCACCAACAATATTGAGAAAGTAATATGGAATTAGGATGTTCTGATGAGGATGATGAAGTCGGTATATACTGTGACTAAAAGTGTAAAACTAAAATATGAAATTAATTCTAATGACTTTTTGTATGATGTGAACTATTAATGTTAATGTGAAAATTGAAAATTGAAAATTGAAGTCAAACTATTAATATAATGTGAAAGGTGAGAATTGAAGTCATTAATTAATGGTACATCGAGCCACGAATCTAAGGTGGGATGGCGAGTTCGTGTTCCCAGACTATTTAAATTGCGAACAAGAAATAACGGGTACATCGACCCACCGACTCTTAGTACAAAATCGGGTACGCCTTCCATCACGATCCAGATCGCGAACCACCAGCGATTGGTACACTTTTGTACCGTGATCCAGTTTGAATCGATCCAGTTCGCAGTTCGTGTCCAGTTTAACGAACCATGTGACTATGATCTGCAAAGCAACTCCTTTTAATTTATATATTAGCCAAAAAAGATGCTAACTACATCAATGGCTCATGTTGTAAGATTATAAAAAGTGGCAGATTATAAAGACATAGAGACATCCTTAACAAAAACTAATCATATTAATGAATTGTTGACTAATAATACATGGATTATCATGCTATTTTCCAACTTCAAAATTCAGATGGATACAAAAGCAATAATTCATTTCAATATTAAAATTAAAGAGAAATACTTGTTCCAAAAAAATGTTAAAGAGAAATAAATGAATATATAGTGTAATCAATTAAACTATTACCATAACACTAAATGACCGATCCCCAAAGGTTCCAAGACTCCCTTAACAGTTTGTTACCTTGGCTTCAGTGCCCGTTGTAGAAGAAAATATAGAAGAAGAAAAAAAATCACAACTGTTTACATATGGAAACAGTGAAATCGTTGTCTAATGTTATAGAAACTTACCATATGTCATGGTACTTCCATTTCTGAGTATTCCTTGGAAGCCAGAAGAAGATGAAGATGTTGATAAAGAAACCTATTGGTTATTCACATCCGTAGTCATTCTGGAAGCAGCCATGGTAACAGCCATCTTTGGTGAGGAATCTTCCATTAAAGATATTCTTTAAGAAAAGACTGTATGTATCATCTCTATTTTAACCCTAGCTTACCCGCACAAATTATGCATCTTCAAATAATTAATCGTATGAACATGAATTATAAGATGAGATGTTAGCATTCAATTCATTTGCAGTTTGTTTGTTTTTGAACTAAATGCACGTGGCTCAAATTTTAATTAAAATAATTACAGCAGTGAATGAAAGTCAAAACTGAATAGTATAGAAAATTCAAATTCGTGAAGCTAACCATAATCATTGTCTCTGCACAGGTCCTCTTGCCCTCAGCATCATAACTAACATCATAACTGCACATTAAAAGCACAAACAATTTCAGAACAATGGAATAGATCATTTCCTTTGCAATTCATAAGATAGCCATCCTAGTTCTTCCCCTACTTTGAAACTGAAAATAATGTACTTTAGTAATTACAAAAATTCCACCAAAAGATAAGGATTTAAGCAGAAAATTTCAATGTAGAGCTAGTTGGTTATGAGTCAATCTAAAGCTTCTTCTATACAAACAAAAAAAATCTCAGAAATTTCTCAAAACCAAGGAAGGAAAGTGTGAAAATAAAGAACATAATAAGATTCCAAAGTACGCATTGTTACATAAACTATCATAAATCACCTTCTATAAAATAAAAGGCCTATTGATTCTTAATAGGTCAAAGTTATTTGTAATTTGTTGATTCTTATGAAATGGAAAAACGAAACTCACCTGCTTCCTCTCGTAGCTTTGCGTCGATCTCCTTGATGAATGGTGATGGAAGAACTTTGCGTCGATTCTCCTGACTTTTCCACTCCGACTGAAGGTCACCGGCGTAGAGTGCAAACTGGTGTTCAATGATCGGTCGTCCCAATGCAGTCGGTGCTGAAGGGGAAGGAAAATGCAGACTTTTAGGTTGAAGAAGATGAGGCGGAGCTGCGGAATCGCTCATGAAGGAGATGAAAGAGAATAGAGGAGTAACTATAGTAAACCCTAATTACTAAATCAAAAATAATTTTGAGAGGAAGTGAGAGCATACCTGGAATCGAACCGGAGCGAAAATGTCTGTTCCATCTCAGGATAGATGCTCCATTTATATACATGGGATAGACAGTTGTGGGAGGAGTTACAGAGAAGCGGACGAACGTGGGAGGTGGGGGAAGGACGAAGAACCGACAGGAAAACTGTAAATAGCGAGTTTATGGATTTTTGCTTTTCAAAAAAGTCAAAAAAAGTATTAAGAAGTTGTTTGGTAATTTGATACGATCTTTTAAATTGTCTTTTAAGAAATCATAAATTTGTGACTTTTAGCAACTTTTGCCTTTTTTTCTCTTTGCCCCCTCAAAAGTTTAAACAAATACATTTTAAAACTATCTTTTAGAAAAAGACATGAATCAAAAAATTCTTTTCTAAAAATGACTTTTTAGTTTAAAAAGCTATCCCAAACACCCCCTATGTGGTGAGGATGGCATCACGGCTGATGTTGGGGAGGCGGTTATCCACTCCCAGCATTAGTAATATTAGTAATTTGCATCAATACACTGTAAAATGATGAGATAATGATGATAAAAATCAAGAACTACATATTAATTCCCTTTAATATCGTATATCTAATCGAAGAGTTGCATCACAATATATACAAAAAAAAAGTAAGAAAGGCAGATTATAAATATTAAAATCTATTAAAAAAGAGTAATATGATATTTAAAAATTAGATTGGGAAAATATGATATTTTGATATTTAAGAAGGTATATATAATTTTTTTTTAAAGTTAATAAGTCATAAAGAATGTTTGGTAAATTCGAAAGCACTTTTCAAAATAGTTTTTTCATTAGCTTAAAAAAAATTAAAAACATGTAAAACTTGGTCTTTTGAAACTCCTTTTAACTTTTAACCACAATAGCTTCAAAAAGAAGATTTTAAGCCAAAAACTTTTTACCTTATTCACTTATTGACTTTTTCCACCATAAAATTTATTTCAAATACTTTTTTAAAAATTAATTTTGCCACCACCATAAGTCAATAACACTTTTGTCCAAAAGTACTTATTGGAGTTCAAAAAGTAATCCCAAACACCCCATTTGTAACACCTAGTTTCCATGATGTTTCTAATTTCAGGATAGTGGGCCATAATTTGACCGATTAAAGGTCGTGGACTTCAAAGGAATAGAGTTTAGACCATATCATACATTGATAATGTTGGCTAAGTGATTAAAGCCCTTGAATTGTGGTTTGAAGCAAAGGGTAAAATCAGAAAGGTGATATTTCGGGCTTCTTGCATAAATTAATGATTTTAGTTCTGTATGTTTTTAGTCAAAAGTAATTAGATAGAATTATGGGTCTCGTCAATAGCTTCGCGTGCATATAAAGATCGCCGGAAACAGAGTTGAAACGAAAAAGTTATGATTGTTTGAAGATCGAATGGATTTGGGTGAAAACTCGTCTCCACGAGGTGGAGAGCAGGCGGCATGGAAAACACCAAGGAGCGGAGAACTGTTTTCCATGGAGTGGAATCTGGGCAGGCCCAAGCCCATGATTTTTAGGTTTTTCAATATATTTAAAGGTAATTATACATGTTTTAGGGCATTTTCTCATCCTCCATCACGTCTAGAACTCCTTGAGAGCAACCCTAACCCCCCTCTTCATGATTTGAGCTCCTTCTCTAACCTCTCCTTTGAACCTCTTTTGGGTGTTTTTGGTGGTGATTTGATGAAGCTTGAAGATCAAGATAGTTCTTTTGGTTGCAAGGAAAGTTGTTTTAACTTTGTGTTGGATTAGATGTCTAAGCTCATAACTATATTTGGTATATGCTTGAATTGATAATAGCATAGTGTAACGCCTGCAGATTCGGGCTAGTCAATTTAGAGACAATAAGCGTCAAAAAAATGACTTTTTAATGAAAGATTATTTAGAATGAATAATGTTAACCATGTTATAGTATATGTCACAAGGGTTCTGTACATATAAAGAACGCCGAAATCCAAGTTATAACGAAGAAGTTATGACCTGTCGAAGTTTTACGACTAAACTGGCACGACACCGCAGTAACATAAAAAGTGAATTTTTGATAAAAAAAAAATACTTTTTAGCCTTAGTGATCTAAACAAAAGTCGTAGTATACGTTAAACCGAGAGCGTGCATAAAAAGAACTTCCAAATCTGACTTCGTATGAGGAAGTTACGATTTTTATAAGATTTAGCATAGCAGTGCACAGCCCGAAATTCGCATTTTACATCGGTCGACTTTTAGCCAAAATAATTTAAACAAGAAATGATGATATCGTGAATAGGAGTTCAACGATAAAAAAACAGTCGAAAACGGAGCTCGTATGTGAAAAATATGGACGAAACTTAGTCCCTACTCTTCGAACGCAATAAAATTCGATACAGTTTTGTAAATTGGAGATAGAATGAGAAATAACCGACGGCGTCTAAATGAAAGTTGTATTACTCGTAAATATCAACGCGTAGATATAAAAAACGTCAAAAATAGAGTTCGTATGAACGAGTTATAATTTTTAATAATATATTTACGTATTAAAATAAAGTATAAATCATATATACATAGTTACATACACACACACACACACACACATATATATATATATATATATATATATATATATATATATATATCATTAGAAAGGTATCGACAATGCGGTCATTATAAGACTAGTGTTGAGTATTTTCGACATTAGTTTAGTACAAATATCATTAAATCTATTTAAAATAGTATTAAATGGGTGTTTAGTTGTTTATATAACTATAAGGTCATTAAGTAACTGATAGTTTTTGAAAATTCAATTACTATAAATAAGAGCCTTAGGCTCTCATATTTCTTGCACCATTGTCTTGATTCAAGAGTCTTTCTCTTCTTATCCCCCGAGCATTTCGGTCCCTCGTGATTCGACTTCTCTTTCTGTAGTTTTAGTATATTAAGGTGAGCGTTGAAGCGCTGCAAGAATATTTCTTAGAAAGATTCGGCGACAAAGTTCTACCCCTGCAGAGCCCGGCTCCCAGCTAAAACCCCCTTGTAAGTAAGTTATGATTACCCTACTTTAAGTATAACTTATATTTAAAATTAGTATTGTTATTATGAACTTATAATAAATATTTGGGCTATTATTATGACTTATATAAGTGTCGTTATAATATCTTTTTAACCACTCACGGTACGAGGAATCTAGTTTAAAGGGCCGCTTGAGTTGTTGGATTTTAGAAGTACTATATGCCAAAATGGTCCTACCCTCCGGTATTTCATGTCTGGCCCTATCTGTACATAGTGGGTGAAAAGTATTGCTTAAACGCTTATATAATAATAATAATAATAATAATAATAATAAGACTAATAATTAGTCACGGTAAATATTAGACTAAAATATAGTGGTAATAATACTAGGTTTCATTGAAGGAAATTATTTTTAAGAAGCGAAGCGCTGTCTGAGTTCGGAATCACCACTGTAACAGGTAAGTGCGTACTCTCTTTCATGAACATGATTTTAATACAAGTATTAATTAATGTATTATCTGTTAAGGAGTTTATATGTGAGTGCATAGTCCCTTTCATGAACATGATTTTAATACAAGTATTGATTGAAGAATTAAATATATGTTTATGTGCGAATTATTTGATGTTGCCTGAAATACGTGTTAAAGAACATACCTGATAATATATGATGATTTAGGATAAAGAGTAAACCTAAATTAATTATGAGGAATATTGGGTAGCATCTTCATACGAGTACGAGTGAGTTATACTCAGAGAATAGAACTTTAATATATGTCATTGATCCGGGAGCATGGATTAGACAGTCATTGTCCCTAGTCCGAGAGTATGGATTGGACATACTCAAATGTCATTAATCCGGGAGTATGGATTAAGACATAGTCAGTTATCCTTAGTCCGGGAGTATGGATAGGACATAGTTATTCGTCATTAATCCGGGAGTATGGATTTAGACATAGACATTTGTCCCTAATCCGACAGTATGGAATAGGCACAATTATTGATCCAAGAGCATGGATTAGATCTAGGAGTAAGAGGTAAAATGTAAGGTCCGAGAGTATGGATAGTCTCGTGAGGATTGGCGGGGTGGGGTAAGAGTTGATTATATATGTGGGCAAATTGTATATTTTGTGAGATCTAAATTATATATATGATATAACATTGTGGGATTGAAATCCCTATGTACTCACCAGGTTTCCCAACCTAACCCACTCAAGCTTATTTGTATCACAGGTGTCGATATGAAGCTACTTTACACTGAGAGATTTAAAAGAGATGTAGATCACTAGTGTAAATGAATTAAGTTCTGTTTATGCTTATGTTTCTGTATTGACAATGACATCCCAATGTTGTAAAATGAATAAATACATTTCTTCGGAAAAGATTTGATAACGTATTTATCATGTTTTTTTGGGAACAAATTCCGTAACACATTTCTTTAAAAGATACTCTGATTTTCAAAATAAAACATAAACAAATCGGTCTTTTCTAGCCGTGAAAATGGGGATGCCACAGTTGGTATCAGAGCATTAGTTTAAGCGAACTAGGAATAAGGATTTATTTCTAGACTTAAACTTAGAATGCTAAGCGATGATCGTGAGGAGCGTGTCTAATAAATTTAGGTAATACACCTGGATAGACACAAGCACTAACTTATTTAGGGAAAATGTCTAAAATGATTTTATGTGCTAAATGATTTATGATATGCATTATATGATCGAATCTATGGTTTGTTGTCGACCGGATCTGGAAACCTTATGTCTTCAGATTTCTAAACGTTTAATTACGGTATTAGAACTAGTATGTAACTTTCAGAGTGATATGGAGATTTACACGTCGATCATAAATAAAATCTTTCCTATCTTAATTCTCGTTATTACACACCGAACGTATGATTTGGTGTATAGATCGAAATGGAAAGAACCCGAAGCGGAGTCGGAAATTCAAACGGAAATAGGAATCAACAGCCTCAACCTCAAGTGATTGAGCAAGTACCTATTATAGCAGCTACACCTGAGCCAATCACAATGGTCGGGGTACAAGCGATGATCCAGATGACGTTGGATCGTCAAATGGAGGAGACAAGGTAATTACTGCTACAAGATAGGGATGAAGCTACAATGCTTGTTTGTAACATTCTGATTTCGAGGAATGATATATGTATATGTTTTGGCTGGGTGACTTGACGAGTTGGTGCCTCAACTCGTCGAGTAGAGTTGAGTTGGCTA